GCTTATCCTTCAACTTTTACACTATTAATTTGCTTAGAACAACTCATAAAATACAAAAGGTTTAAACTTATTTTTAATCCTTATTTTGCCAAAAGTGCCTTTGCCCAATCAAACTTGTTCTCTATGGGTCCATCGACAAGGATATCGATTCAATGATAGAATATCATTTGAATATGTCACATGCAATGCCGCCTTTGTTGGTGTCCAGAATGTAATACGAGCAGGTGCACATAAAACTTGCCCTCTACCTTGGACTCCAACTCAAAAGAATGAGAAACATGAGTGTCCTCAAGTATTTCCCATGACTTGGAATTTTCACCATTGACAAAAGCAAACACAGACATCTAGGCCCCAATTGTCATTATAATATGTCTGTAATTTTTTTACTTTCAGTGCTTCTTTCCTCAGATATTTTCCTCTGCTTCGGATTCCTTCATCTCTTGCCATTTACCAGTAGCATTGCCACGTTTTCAAAATGTTAGTGGAATTGCCTGCGTTCCAGCAAAGCTAGGCAGGGAACAACTTTATGCAAAGGTACGGGAAAACAATTCAGAAAAAGCAATTATTAGCCCATAAAAGACAGAAAATGTCAGTATGTCAGTGTGTGAATGTACAATTATTGAGTGGATAAAAATGTACAATTCTTTACCAGCATCACATACTGTAGACTACGGGTTGAGAGTCTAGAGCTCAGCACCATGTAAAATGTGTCCTTGTAATCCCTTTAGACATCAGAACATGACAGCTATTATTTTGGAATCAGAAAATAGATGTGAGGAAGAGGTATCAATTTTTTTTTATAAAAACATTTATAGAAATATTTAAGGATAGAGAAACAGTAATAAATTGGTAATGTTAACAACCCGCTAGAATAAAGGTTTACAATGATATTATTTATAAATTGTGGGACCTAAAACATTAAAATAAATAGTTAAAATAGTCAAACTTTTCTAACTAATTCAAGGTTAAATGTTAAATTTGGTCCCTCAACTTTAGTGAGTTGCATATTTTTGGTCCCTTAACAATTTTTTGCACTTTTTTGATCCCTCAACTATACGAAATGCACTCCGTTAGTCCTTCTGTTAAATTGGACCGTTAACACTGCTTACGTGGCATTTTTTATTTTTTTTTTATGATGTGGAGGGCAAAATTTAAAAAAGTGATGACGTGCACAAAAACTTTTGCCATGTCATGCTACCGTGGTCAAAAAAGTCAAATCCGTTCAAGTGGGTCCCACATATCACCACTAAGAATTGCTTCTGTCCATTGATT